AGGAATGGATGAGGAATGTTATTGAAGATGAAGCCTGAGGGATAGTCAGCTCCAAACAATGAACAATTCATATTTATTGAATACACAATGTTGCATTCAATTTCCTGAAAAACAGCTGCCGTGAATCAAGAGCTGCATAGAAACATATATCACAGGGAAATTTGAGTGTTGGTAGTGGGACTTGAACGAACATTCTCCGAATCAAGATGAAGAGAAACGGCAGAATATGTAAAAAAGCCCAGCGGGGTTGTACTAGGTGGTTGAACTATTCTTACCGCACCGTGATTCGCAGGACAGATAAATTTGTTGGTTTCTGACACAAGGTAGGCTGGTAACCTGATCGTCAGCACCATACAATTGATTTCTGATAAGTATTACATCCTCATATGAAAGCGTAACATGGACGAAACAACAAAACACTTCGAGGGTTCGTTCATAGATCCCACTGCACGAAACATTCTGTCATTCGCCACATGGTATTCTGTAGGACATTTTGAAAATACGACTGAGGTTGAAGGGTGAACTGAATATGGCATTATTGGCATTTTTACAAGCAATAAACTCAAAAGGCGTTTTGGATAGATTTAAACTATACAACCTAGTTAAACAATAATCAAACAACAATATTTGGCTGTCAAAACCGTACGAAGCTGTGGATCCATAACTTCTTCAATTGGTGTGTTCGTTATTAATTTTCTATATACACTGCATATCCGTGCATTATATATATTAAGCGGAATTAGGAACGGGTGCCGAATTATTTTTCTGTTTAAGCAGTCATGAAGTTTTGCATTTCTTATCACATTTCAGGTAGGATTGCTTGTGGATCGATGAACAGTCTTGTGAGCCCATCGTTTGTCGAGGTCAGTTTGAACGTACGTACAGTGTGACACATCTACACAAAATGATTGCTCACATAATTTAGCTAACTAGTTCCCAAGCAACGCCGGAACTCCTATTTTTATTGGTATTACTTCCCCTACTGCTATTATTTTTATTAGTTTTAGTATTGGTTAAAGTAGTAATTTTCTATTCTCAATATCATAATGCACATGTGATCCAACTGTGACTAGACTAGGCGTCTCATGGAATTCGAACGCACATTGACGGCATCCAATTTGGGATTTAATCCTACTCCATGGTTCTGACCTTTTCATGAATGGATTAAACAATACTTTCTATCGAAATATGTCACATATCTGATTTGAGTAGGTCGTCGACTTGAAAAACTGTTTTTTAGTCTGATTTTGAATCGGTCCTTGCAAATATTTCGTTTAATAAGTTCTGCCCCGGACCTCATTTGAGTCCCGTGAACAGTGCAGTCTGTGAAAACTATTTTTCACAATAGGTGTTCATTTGGAGGACTTGAAAACGGCTGACTCGATCTCGTGTTTGTAGGTTGATATAATCGACAGCATGGATCACAAGCTTCTCCTAATGTATCAACTGGGAGAAAATCATGAAACGGCGCCACATGACATCCGACTGCTCCTTAAGGGAATGTTGTACATTACCGCGTTTAGGATGCTAATCGACTTTCTGTATTCGACCACCGATGTCTCCGAAGCGTTGCTCGCGTCTGGTGGGAACACCAGGTGAGCAATGATGAGGTTCCTCGTCGTGTGTTGGGTGCGGATAGTTGTTCTCTAACACAAGTAATTGCTCTACACCGCCTCCGTTGGTTTGGTCACGTATTGCACATGCCTGTCCATCGACTACTTTCCGTGTTCTCTTTGCAGGTGCCGGACAAGGCTGGAAGAAGTGTCGCGGCGGTAAGACCATAACATGGCGTAGAGGGATGAAAAAGCTGGCTTCAGCTTTGGCTTTGTTTGGTGCAGCCCGCCTTCCAGCCACGAGCTTACCAAACCTAGAACAACCACGAAAAGCAAGGGTCCAACAGACTGGTTGGCATCCACTGGTATACCCTACAGATCGGGGACATCAGAGGCAATTAGAAATATCCTCGGTAGTTACAACATCCGAGTTTTCTTCCGAATAGATAACACACTTCAACACAAGCTGTCCAAGGTCGATGATCCAATTCAGATGCAGGACCAAAGCAACTGCATTTGCAAGATCATTTACAAGGATTGCCCAGAAGAATATATGGGACAAACATGCAGACAGCTTAGAGTGAGAATCACGCAACATCGAAGAAAAGAACAATTGAGACCAACTAATACCACGCAGCTCAACAAACTCGAGATTCGACAATCGCACTTGATGCCATTGCCGAGGGACATCGTATCGACTATGAAAACACGAAAATTCTCCAACGAGGTTTTCGAACAAACTCCGAGACCCTATATGCCGAGGCTTAGGCAATTAGTACTCATTCTGAGTGTGTGAACCGAAACGATGAGGCAGGGGTTTCGATCATCTGGACAGCGTTAACATCACTTGCCAGCACTCGTCCTCAATCTGATTTGATCTCAGATAACCCCGATCCCACAGACAAATATTGCATAAACGGATGGGCCCAGCACCCGACCCAGATCAGTGACGTTCACACAGACACGGACACAGACCTACATGCAAACACACAGACACAAACACACACACGGTGCGTGTGAGCTTAGTTGGTAAACTGTTCCTGACTCATTCGATTGTAAAATTGCCTTGATAAAGGTTACCCAAGTTAACGGAAACATCGGTTTATTTTTCACCTTTACGGGCATCGCTGTGTTTTCAAAATTACAACTTATATATAAGGTCACCTATATCACTTCCCACAGTGCCGTTATATGATAGCGCTTGTTTGTATTATTATTCAGCTGTCCCTCATTATTCCGAAATCCCTAAGCACATCCGCCCACACCCTGCCTTGGGTGTCTGTATCTTTATTGGTCAACGTATGCCTCTATCGTTTCTTCAAGAAATAAATAAACCAAAGGTAGTCAGCAGTTTCCTTGAGTTATAATTACTTTAAAGAAGGCAAATCAGCCAACTTTAAACCGAATAGCCAATCTTTTACTGAACAAAGGCAACTGCTGTGAGATGATCATCGGGTAGCATTTATGATCAGAAACATTTCGCGCAGTTCATTAATTCGAACCTGCCAAAACCACCTTATTTTCTCATCTGTCGTTTTACACCTGAAGATTGATTGCCTTTTCATTCAGGGAAAATAAGTTGTTGATATACATGCATATGCATGCAGTGAACTTCGTGGTGTTCGGAGCAAATTATGCCCCACCTGAAAACCTTAAAAGCATTGTTCAGCTGTTTCGAACTGAGTTGGAACGCGTTTAACTGAGTTTTCAGATAGAAAGCAAGTGCATAAAACACGATCACTGGAAAGCTAATCAGACAGTTTTTTCCTGTTTTTTAAGTATCCAATTTTGAGCTAGTTGCAACTCTGAGAACTACGGTTGTCATATTGCTTAATCATTACTGGAAAAAGGATTTAGTAAACTACTCAGGGGTCAAACGAATAGTTTGGTTACTTTCTACCCGTGAGTTACCGCATCGGATGGTCAGTTAGATCAATGTCCTCGCTGCTGAGGACAAGCACTGAAGTTGAAGTGGTTGTCCAGTGCTCCCTAGGTTTTCAGTTATCTTTTACTTTACTGTTGACATGAAAAGACTTATCACGTGAACGAATCACATCCTTCACTGCTCTCGAATGAAAAGGCGATTTAATAAATCAATAAACCATTGACATATATCTTACTCCATTTACTTCCTTATGAATAATTTAAATCACTAAATTAAATTTAGTGTATTTCCAACTGTGCTTCACAATGTTCATTTCAAACAAAAGAAGAAGAATGTTCCATATGAACACAGGCTAGATACCGTGATGTTTCCTGCGTAAAACGAAATCTTAATGCTTCTGTCAACGAAGTCATTGTTAAACTGAATCAAGACCAAGCTGTTAGGTCACCCAGTTGTGACCGGGGAGTCCCGGGTTCGAATCGTTTCACCGCCATCCGTCCTCCTTATTTCTGTATTTCCCCAGGCAGCCTTTGTATGGCCGCAGCCCTCTTCCTGAAAGTTGACTGTAAATTTGTATATTCAATAAATAAAAAAGGAAGTAAAAAGACATTTACATTTTACATTTACAAACGCACATGATGGAATGGGACCCCTTTCTGACTGACTTCAAACACAGACAAGAACAACAGGGAGTTTGTGTTAGAAACCATTGTGTGTTTATCTCAGCCTTTTCGTGTTTACAAGCCGCATATTCATCCGCTTCGTAGCTGCTTGGGAATGCTTGCTACCGGATAAATGGGAGGCAGAATAGGATTATCATCGGCATCATCACAATACACAACCAAACGGAGCAAGGTCAAAAGTTAATCCGGTCCAGGCCATCAAGTAATCAAAATGGAGTTGTATACAGAAATGTCTGGGAGCGCTGTTTTGATCAGTATGTTTGTGTCTGCCTGTGCGAGTATGTTTACGCATAACCGATATGTTGCCACGCGTATAGTTGTGTCACTAGATTTGAGGACGGGACACTAGGATTTTCAACTATAGCTCGGACTGAATACAAACGAGTAACATACCTGTGAATGTAACAAAAAGGAGAACATATTTAAAGTAGATTGAACAGCAAGCCTGGTTTTTACTTGTGTATATGCATGCGAGCGCGTTTTAACAGGAGCGAATGATGGTAAGGTAGGCAGCACAATTATGTCCATATGTGTGTGTAGGTGCATTCTTGTTAAGTACTCGTAACTAGGCAACAGATCATCAGAGTAAAAAGAGAGAAAACAATCACGATTTTCCTATTTAAAATATGTAAACATACGAATGTGGCATATTGTTCCTCTACTCGAATAATGAATCACAGAGGGAAGCAGTGATGAATCGAAAAGTTACTCAGCTATAACTTCAGCAAAATCGGTGTCCTTTCAAGGATGAACGGTAATCCAGGCAGACCGTGATTAGTCGAAACGATTTAGTTCAGTACGAGGAAGAAAGAGAAATGCATACATCGGTACCATCACGTGTGTACAGTCACTAAACGAGCGAATAACAAAGGATGGGCGTTAAGGTGAATGCTTTAGGCCCAAATAATAAGCCCAGTAAAAACAATTGTACAAAATGTAGCAAGCTGGAAACAGAAACCGGCTGTAGTTATCGATTTCAGACTCAACTAATCCGGGTGGTCTTCTCGGTTTGGTCTTTTCTTTACTATCATCAATCAGTTGACTAGTGAGTAGTAATTCCATCTCTTCACAAAATTCCAACTGACCACGTGACAGACCTTGAGAATTTTGCAGTTGTGCTAGTTGTTGTTGTTGGCATACAGCACACCAACGTGTCAATTCTTCATGTACGATCATTTTTACATCTTCGTGCCATGTTTCTGCCTGCTTTTTACGTAACACAGTTAAGGCCACAGCATATTCAACCAAAACTCCGATAACGAATATGATTGAAAAAATCATCCACACATCGATTGCTTTGATGTAAGACACTCGTGGTAGGGTAGAGGAAACACTGATTGCCTGGGTCAATATGCCAAGTAAACTCAACAGGCCGAGTGGCACACGAGCTGGAGCGGAATCCACATTTACCCAAAAACTCAACCAAGAGACCATAATGATCAAAATGTTGGGCACGTAAGTTGTGGCCAAATATGAACCAAGTTGCCGTTGCAGGTGGAACCAAGCCTGTAGACAAGCGTAAGCCCCGGTTGAGGTCGAATAATTACCGGAACAGTCCTCGGTTCCAAAAGACTCGGGAGTTTCGAATTCCGACAACTGTAAGGCGTCGGCCAGTTCAACTGGATCCTCGGCGCGCCACACAAATTTCAGTTCAGTAATTGTGTAACCATAACTGCCGATATTAATCATACATTTTTGTGTGTCCATCGGGAATGTTTGCAAATGCATTTGACACGAGAATCGCATGGTGATTTTCTGACTGTAGAGGACTTCACCGTTGGGGGAGACACGGAGCAAATAGTTTGGTAGGGTCAATTTGTGCAAATAACCATCCTTGCCGTTTCGGAAAAACAAATCGGGCAACCATAATTGTTCCTTCAGTTTCGGCGAGACCAGAGTTTCTGTGTAATTTTGAAACGCGGGGACTTCGTTCCAAGACAGGCGACGATCTTTCCACGTCTGTCTCAATAGCATGTCCACATAGTAATCCATGGTACGTACGTCGATCGAGAAAATGGCCAGTATTTTCATGAACACGATCACGTGCGTGGCATTCGCCCCGGTCGGGGGACGTTCATAGCTCCGATATTTGTTCATAATCATATTGACAATCTGATCCCGCATGGCTGATTTAGCGTTGGACTTTTGCCGTTCCGGTGTCAGAAGCACCATGGTATGATTAGCTATGTTTTGACTCTGATCCATTTCAGGGGTCTGCACATAGGGGGATTCATAACCACCGGCTGGAGGAGGTACCTGCTGCTGATGCAATCGCTGGTTCAATTCCGGGTCGCCAAAGGTCACACTGGCTGGCAGTCCCGGGTCAGAGTGATGCATACCTGGATGCTGTTGCTGTGACTGTGATTGTTGTTGTGGTTGCTGCATTGGTTGTGGTGATGGTGGTACATGTTGCGTTTGTTGCTGTGAGTTGGGTACAACACGTGGAGCTGGTGAACGTCCACCGGAAGGAATAGCATTCAGTTGGCGATAAATGGATGGATCAGGTGGATTGGCCGGTCGATAGAACGTGTGTTGTGAAGCTTTCGGTGCAGAGGGATAAGTGACAGAATCTGGCTGCTGTCCGCCTAAGCACAACAAATGAACTAAAAGTGTGAGGGATGTGAGGATGAGCATGGATGAAGGTAAAAAATATTGTCAGTGGTTATTGTTTAACCGGATCGCTCAATAATAAACCGTGTGGACTATGTTTGCCTACGATCGGAATCTCCGAGACGATGTTAGCTAGACATAGTGCAATAATGTTGAACGCGAATTGTTTTGAACCTGCAGCTTCCGACACGTTTGAGGTAGGATGGTCGATAATAGAACGATTTAAGGGCAAAATAACCGTGTGCCCTCGGTGAAGCGCTGTGATGAGAGAGAGGGAGAAAGATAAGTAGGCGACCGAACAGAGAGCTAATCCAAACACGATACTCTAGACAGGTAAGATAGTTGTACAGACAGGCAAACGCGCTTAGGATTTCCGGGGCGTCCCTCCACACGTGTGCATCAACCAATCCACGCACAGGTTTGCTACCGTGAGTGGGATAGACAAACTCTGTAAGAAGGACAGATTTTTCCCAGCGGGCGCTTGCCGTCCTATGTGAGCCTGCGACATTTGGTTTGGCCATTACCCTGGTCAGCCGATAGGCAGTTGCATGATGTGTCAGTATTCCTCAAGGTAACCAGTCAGTCAAACCACTAGGCAGTAGTAGTTTGAACGGTTTAGTGCAGCCCCACCGCGGTTAATGAAGTTTAACCATCTATCTGTCCGTCAATCCTATCTCAAGCTTAATGTTTGGAGGTTCAGTTAGTCCGATTCGCTCAGGTACTTGTTCTCCATTGAGCAAACTAACTATTCAGTTGAATCTATGATGAACGTCAATTTATTTAGGAAAAAGTCTAGAACGATCTCAAACAGTTATTGAGTAAGAACTACTTCAAACCATTCTTCAGATTGCAGAGCCACTGTAATACACGTTAGTAAAAATCATGATCACTAGTAATGTGTTTTGGTTTGGCCATCTGACCTGTTATATATAAGCAATATACAAACAACTAACTTCGAGCCCGAAAACGAACCTTGAAGAAAACCGACTGAAGCAAAGATAAAAATTAATTATATCAAAGTGTTCCTAAGAATGGAAAACTTTGGAAAGTAGAAAAAAATAAACAAAGATCGTTACCTGGATATTAAAATGGAAATTTTTTTTTGGAATTCTTCGTCACGTTGAAAAACCACATAATAAAATAACAACTTTCAAAGTTGCCGAATAATTAGTAAGAACTCCGCAGTCCTTAGGAGAGCATCAGACAAAAATCTAAAGTTAAATTTGGTTTAGATGGGACTAAATTTATGGTAAAATGAAATTATTTGGCGTCACTTTTGTTCGTGAAACTCGCAACACTATATCGTTTCGTCTATCTGGAGGACATTCCTTCCTAAACCGGAATTTGAGGGTTGAATAACACTACAATTGTCAGCTGTAGAATTATTTCCTTTGCGAAACTGGGTGACTACTGCACGTTAAACATGAACAGTTTGATGGATGTGATAACTCCCTTCGACTTGGATCTGCGAAGGCGGATATCGCAAACAATCGCTTCTCAAGACATGCATAATAGGTGACAAATGCGTCCCTACCGTTTCATACAGACTGATATCAATTGATCGACCTACAATAATAGTCTATTTGTTTAGCGAGTCAAATTACGCTTTTGTACAGCACACGCTCTACCATCTGAACTACGAGGCCACACCGATAGATTTGATCTTTTCACATTCAAACGTGGAATGCGTTACAAGTATGTAAGTGTAACTCATTGAGAGAAAGAGAGATACTAATGATACAAATTATTGCAGGATTTGTTTACGCTAGAATAAGAATACCGGTATGAGGTTGAAAATTGTTGAATCCAATCCAATCCAAATCATTTTCGTTTCTTTCATAGTGCACAAACTAATCGCATTTGTGTCCACATTGTTTCCGTCTGCGATTAGATTATTTATTTGAGGAAACCAAAACTGGGGTGAAAAACTGTCCACTAACTTCCCCAACCATCTTCCTCATCTACCATCCTCATCCAGTGAGAGGAAAGCAAGTTAAAGATGAACACAAACGGCGCAGTGAGACAAAAGTGAGAAAGAATCAAAAAAGGAAAAGAATTTTTTTTAGAGTGGCTAATTTTACACAGCAATATACCTCATAATCAGTCAGGTTCCCATTGTATTAAAAAGTAGAAAGAATCTCCACTTGCGAATCATGCTTATTCTGTGTTCTGTCAATCATTTGCTCCGTGGAACTTGTACATGCGCATTCAGAATCGCGTGCAGCTCAAAAAATAGTTTCAGCAATTTTGTTGTACTTAAACAAACAACAGAACACACAACACAACCATTGTCATCGTTCAATTTACGTCATTGAACGGGAGGTTTGAGACTGTCTGTGTGCGTGTGTTTGTGCGCCTAGATTGCGCGCGAACATAGTCAGATAACAGTGTGGCAAAACAGGAGATAGTGAATCACGGACTATGTGGAGCGGGTATCGATTTATGGACCAACCCGTCGGTCAACTAAGAACAAAGCAAACGGCAGTTCGTTGAGCTTGCGTGAGAATGATGGGGAGATTTGCCGAAAGAGCTAATCGAATCACAGTCACGCCCAAGGGTAATAAAGGTGTAAGTACGCCATTGCACAAGTGGGTGAGGCGAAGCATTATAGTAGAATCATGAAAAGATGAAAGGAGCAAGAACAAAAAGAAACAGTTTGAAGTTTAACGGGAAAATAGAATGTGGATTGTGTAAATACAGTAAGAGAAGACTGAGATATGCTTCTAACAAGAAAAAACGATAGTAGCATAATTTTGAATAAGGTACCAACATATGATAATTTAATGTGTTCTGCTTGCTTAAACATTCATTTTTTGTTAGGAGCCAACCAACTAGTGCTGGTTTTTATTTCAGCGCTTTCAATCTTGCCCATTTCGCAAGGATGATGGCGGGGATGCTTTTATTTTAGCGACTATGTCTTTTACTGTGCCGAACCATATTATGTGAATAAAAGAATGAATATGATACATAACAAAAGGGAATTTCCTACTAAAATTGATCTAAGAGCATCAATGTGGTTGTTAATCAAAGTGAACACTTGCTTGTCCCAGCTACGAACCAATAACACTTTTTGATGTGACAAGAGCCTGAAGATCGCATAGATGTGGTAAATTTCATATTCTATCGAATCTGAGATGGAATAGTGTGCTAAATACTACTGAAAAACTTTTATTGATTAATCACCGATTCTTTCTGGTAAACTTTTGTTTCAAACATGTTATATCAAACCGTAGTGGTAAGATGTTTCCATTTCCCCTTACCATCTCAGTCGTTAAAACCAAGACGTTTTCTATAAAATCACCTTCGCCTTCACCAATGCCAAGAACAAAGGAAAATGAATCACCAGAGATTTATACTGACAAGTAATGAGCGCAGGCTACAATCAAATTGCACTAATCATTGATAACTGTTGTCAAAAGTTTAAAGTATAAAACAAACTCGCTAAAATGTAAGGGGTGAAATGATAAGAGCAGAAACTTTATTGATAATTACTGTTTTTATAATTGTAGTTATTATGCGGATTTTTTCCTTGCACGAAATCCTCAGTGTACCCTCTAATCAATCGAACGTGCGAAAAGCACCGGACTCGAGCTCATTGGTCCATATCCATCCGAGTCGGTTTAAAGCCGGAAAACGCAGATGTAGGATATGCGTGTTATCCTTTTGCGAACCGGCTGAAAACAGGCCAAATAAAATTCATCAAGCTGTATGGGTTTCCTCTTCATTGGCAATTAGTCAAACTTTGTGAGCGGTAAGACAGAAGCAAGACAGTAACTTTTACATTCCCCGTTAGAAACAAACTGAAATAATTGGCAAGGAACTTTTATCTAGAAACTTCTTTAATGGAATTAGCCGTATCCACTGACGAGACATTAATCCAGAAGAGCGCTGTCAGCATTTTCTTTATATAGCGAAACCATTCGATTTTTTTCGGGCAAAATAACTGCTCGACTGCTCGAAAGGAAGTTAGAAAGTTTGATGGACACTAGAAACCACCGAATCGCGTCTCCCACAACACCCACTTTGGTGCAGAAACTGTAGGAAAGCGGAGTCCACAAGTCATTAAATGATTTGAATCAAAGTAAGTTCATCTTAATTGGATTTTTGATTACAGTTTCCGGACAACTGTGGTGAGTCGACGAGGGGAACGAAAAACGAACATGATGCCGCTTTTCATTCGTGAGCATGTGATATTATAATTTACATAAAAAATCCAGTAAACACTTTGTTCTCCTTTATCCCAAAAGCATGTGTATTCCTATTCTGTACTTCAGTGTACCATAATTCTGAACTGTTCATATATATCGAAAAGCAATATGGAGTGGACAGTACACACATTTCCATAGTTTCGTCCCACTCTATAAAAAAATGCAACCTTGTAAACTGTCTCCTGCAGACAGCAAAGCGCATCTGTTCAGAAGATACTTTAAAGGACGAACTTTAACTAGTGAGTAGAACCTTACTGGAAAATGGATATCCTGGGAAGTTAATCGACCGCAATTGAACTGAA